CATCCATCATTGTTGTTACCCAACAACCCACCTTCAAAAGATCTCCTATCAACCTTCTTCCTGAATCAAGATTGTTATATGGAGAGAAGTAGCATGGTCATGGAAATGTGGCAATAATAATCATGACCCGACTGAAGGCTAGAGCCAGTTTGGGGTATTTAGAATGGGCCAGTCATGTGCTTTATCTCATTTAACTTTCACAATGACTCCATGAAATGAATACCTTAGATTATTCCATTTTCAGATGAGGAACACAAGACTCACAGAGATGAACTTGCCCAAGCTTACACAGCAAGGTAGTGGCAACACAAGGACTTGGATAGAGACCATCTAGCCCCCAAACTGGCATCTTTTTAAATTCTTATGCTTATGAGATGGACAGACAGGGGAAGGCAGGTAAAAATTTCCAAGTAGAAGAAGCAGTGCATGCAGAGACATACAGCCTGTAAGAGCAAATCCTGTTTGAGGAACTGTAAGTAGTCCCATAAACCCCCAGCTCCGGTTGTGCATTAGTGAATTAAGTGCTGGGCTGCCAGACAGGGAGGCAGGATGGAGTCAAACCATGAGGACTTGAATAGAGAGCATGCCTGGGAGTTAGAGAGGATCTTGGGCAGGAGCATAAGGGGTGAAAGAAGAAAAGGACCAAGTCAAATATTTGGGAAACAAAGATAAAGAGAACACAGTGATTTTCTGTCCATCTACCTAAATTGCCTTCCCAAGTGACATGATAAAGTTAATCTATCCCATGTACACAGATACCCCTTGAATATCTTTCTTTTAAAAGACACCACAATAAAAAAAAAAATCAAGAAAGATACGTGACTAACTATAGGAACTATCTAGAAATAATTACTGTTTCTTTTTTGGGATTTGATCTTAGTCATACTATTCTACCTCAAGTTTAACAGATCTTATTAGAACAGACGTATTGTTCAATTAAAGTCATGTTTCATTTTAACATTGATTAGATTATGGGGGAGGCTTGTCTAAATAGAAAAACCAATGAGGCAGATATAGTTAATAAGCTTCAAAACCTTGGAGCAGAGATGTTGTACTAGTCAGAAGATGTTTTATTCCAGCAGGGAGATGGCATTTTCCATATTTTTCTTGATTATTTTCTTTGTAAGATTAAAATGAGCAATTGAAAGGGAAGTTGGAAGCATATTGAGGACTGTTTATTATTTATGAGATGGAAATCAAACTCCTCTGTAACCAAACTCATTAAGACTCACATAAAGCTTTTCCCATTTTCTTCTATAGGCACAATTCCTGTAACAAGTAAATTATGCATTCCCCAAGCACATTCAACTCTGAAATCCAAGTTCATTATCCAAGAGTATATGGCATTATCCTGACCCAAGACCTCCCTTCTCCCAGAAGTACCATCCCCAGACCTGCCTCCAGGAAGCAATGTTTGGGAAGCGGTGCTTGTGGGTCATCTGGAGCTAGCCACTGCTTACTGCAAACTTTCTCTGCACATGCTGCTGAGCCCCATCAGCTCCCACTGCCCCTTGGCTCCTCCCTCTCCCGTTCTACACCCTCCCATTGCCACCCTCTCTGATGAGAATTGCTCCCTTGGCCCCTTTCAGGGACAAAACCCCAACAATCTGCCTCCTGTCCTCCTCCCCAGCTGCTGTTCCTCTCCTCCCCTGTAAATTGGCAGGAGGGCTAAACCAGCATCCCTGCCACGCTCACAGCACCCCTGCATGCTGGTACGAGTTCCAGTGAGTTCCAATCTTAGCCATCCACTGAAGGGTCGTCTCCAACCGGCAGGGATCTGGGTTTGTTTTGGTGACCTTTGTGGTCCCAGTCTCTAGAACAGGGTCTGGAAGATAGTCAATGCTCAGTAAGTATTTGTTAAATGAAGAGTGGAGGCACCTGCTGTCTTGGGTTCTCAACAAGTAAAAAGTTTACATCTATAAATTATAAGTCTATTCATCTTTTCCCTTGTGACTGTTTTGGGTGTTATGATAAATTCATTAATACTTCCAAATTTGTGAAAATATTTTCATAAATGCATACATCTATTTACAAATATCTATATAATATTTATATATGTAACATGTATATGTGTGTAGATATGTAAGAATGTATGTATAAAGAGAAAGAGAGAGACAGAGAGGCTGAAAACGGATTAATTTTGACCAAGTTCTATGTGCCAGATGCAGTGGTAGATATTTTGTGCACTTTCTCATTTAATCATAAAATGCTTTGTGGTGGATATTATTACCCTCATGTTTTCCAGATAAAGGAACCAAGGCTGGAGATTTAGGTACCTGATCTATGTTTACACAAAGGCTCTTTTTATGTTTAATTTTTAGGTTTAAAATTTTAGTCCATCTATCTGGTAGGCGTTCTTTTTGAGTTCATACCTTCTAGGCTCCAAAAATCTGACAGAACTGCCTAGAAGACTGTGCCATATATATATTTGGCATGTGTGTGTATGTATGTGAGTGTGTGTGTGTGTGCGTGTAGTGTGTGTGAGGAAAGGATCAATATTTCTCATCAGATTTTTTTAAGTGGACCCTGAACTGAAAATGATTACAACTCATCGGTTGAAGTTAGAGATAATTTTATTCTAAATGAAGTGCCAGTTTTCTTAACACTGTGCATTAAAAAAGCATCCTTTTCCCTAGTAATTTGAAATGTTAATTTTATCAACTGCTAGGTTTCTGATACTAGAAAGACCCGGATTTAAATCACGATTTGACCATCCACTAGCTCGTGATTTTAGGCAAGTTATTTAACTTCTTTGAGCCTATTCCCACATCTGTAAAATGAGATAATCTAATTGGAGCTCATAAACCTGCTCTTAGGATTAAATTAGGCAATGCATGTCAATACTTGACAATGGTCCCAATTCATAGCAGACCTTCAATAAAAGTTAGCCTTTATTAATATAGATCTCATATACCCTTGATTCTGGCCTTCAATTCTCTATATCATCCACTGATGGAATATGTTGGTCTATTCTCCAAGATATGAGTATTTTACAGGTCTTGGTTATATTGCTAAGTTGCTTTCAACGAAGTCTGTTCAACCCCATCCCCACAGGCAATTTATCCATGTTATGTATCATGCAGTATACAGCATTACTAGGTTAAAGAATCTTTGCTGATTTGATGCATGAAAAGTATTATTTCCTGTAAGTTTTGTGTTTCTTTGTTTACTAATGAGGATTTCTATTTTCCTCCCTGTTTATTGGTGTGTATTTCCTACAAAGTGAATATGTTTCAGCAAATTCTTCCTGGATCCTGTTTCTCTTTGCTCTCCCTCACTTCAGGTCTACCTTTCCTGCCCAACTGTCTGCCTTGCTCTATAATAAATCCTTTATTCTCCATATAGCCTATATTTCTAGCTGTTTTGTCTCTGTAAATTATCAGCAGTTTATCACAGACAGGTGCCGAGAGAAAACAAGACTTTGAATCACCAAGTAACTTCTACCATAGAACGTTTTGGTGAAAGCAGGAGTATAATGGGGTTGCTTGGTTGTCCCAAAATGTTCTGGAGAATTTAGAGGAAAGGAAATGATGAATTCAGGGCTTTAAATTTCTACCTCCAGCTCTCCATTAGGAACCTGCAAACTTTGATGCCTGCGCTAAAGGAAATCCTTATCCTGTAGCCTTTGGGCTAACATTTCTGAAAACTAAAACCCGAAGTCTGATTTACCAGGTAGCTGAATTGCAATGTACATCGATTTCCTAATCTAGTGGGGTCTCTTATTGTCAGGTTAGAACATTGTTTGGGAAGACGTGGCACCCTTAGTATTGGGATGGGGTTTTAGGGGCAGTTCAGTGAAGCTGGGAGCCTTGGGCCTAGTGCCATGCTGAGCCTGAAGTGAAAGGAAAAAATCAGTAATACTGATCCTGTCTTTATTTTAAAAACTTGATTTTTTTTTTTTTTTTGTCTATTGTGGACTTTTTTTGTACAAACTTGGAGGGTTTAAATATTGCGGTAAAATGTTATCTTGATGACTGAATTTTTTGGATGCCCACCTAAATTTTGTACCCAAAGCACTCTAGCTCCTGCCCTCCTTGAACTCCTAAATTCTGCCAAGTATCCTTGATGAATAAGGAGGTTAAGTTTAACCCGAAGGAGGTTTAGCCTCTCTTCACCTCAAGAACCTCTAATGGCTTCCTACAAGGTAGGGGTAATTTTCCTATGGACCAGCCTCCCCACCTTTCAGTTTCTAGACCTAAGACCAGATTCAAAGCAGAACTCTGACTGATCCAGTGGGCGAAAATGTCCTAGCTGGCATCATTCTGATTAGATTGGCTTCTGTCCCCATCAGCCAGTGTTCATTAGTCACTCAGTACTTTGGTTCCAACCCCAAACTTATGTAATAACATCCTATTAATATCTTAGAGCATTCAATGTCCTATTTTTTTAAAAATCTACTTGATACCATTGATATAAGGAATTCTTCCACAGTAGTTATGTTTCTACTTCTATTTTAATTTATAGTAGTTTTGATTCCAGATATAATAAAAAGTTTCTGTTGATTTTTGTTTTTACACAATTCAGCTCATGTCATTTTCATAGTGTTTTCATTACCAACTATATTTTTGAGTTTGGAAATCCACCTATAAAACTGGGCCTGATGAGTAGAGGAAAAAAAAGGAAATACAGAGAAATATATCAAGAAAAAGTAAAACTTCCCTGTAATTCCACATCCAGAGAGTGCTCTTATTAACATTCTGTTGTGTATTTTATGAAAACTAAGATTACAAAGCATATGTTATTATTTAAATTAATTTATTTTTTAAAGATTTATTTACTTATTTGAGAGAGAGGAAGGGCAGAGGGAGAGGGAGAGAGAAACCCAAGCAGACTCCCTGCTGAGCATGGAGCCCCTGTGGGGGTCGATCCCACGACCCTGAGATCATGACTTGAGCCAAAATTAAGAGCTGGGGCCCAAACAGCTGAGCCCCCAGGCTCCCCAAGCATATGTATTTTAAATCAGCTATTTCCCTCATCTCTCACATTGGAGAATCAAAAGAATTATCACCCATCTGAAGGTGGTACATTGTTTAAAAGACACATGACCAAATTATTTGGGTTGTGCCGGTCACCCCCAGGAGGACTGAGCGCGGAATGGATCAGGGGTGTTTGCTTCTGAGGGCAGGAGGTGCTGACGTGAGATTGAAGAGACACTTCATACCTTATTTTGCACCATTCTGTCAAATTTTTTATTTTAGCATGTATATGTATATGTTCTTAAATAATGAAAAAAATTATTACGTTTACAGGAAATGAAGAAAGATTTGAATATTAGTCAAAGAGGCACAAGTCCAATACGGAGAAAAGGCTATCTATGAAGATATTGAAATTCAGGATTCCACATTTTTACATTACTAAATGCCACTTTAGAATGGATCCCGAGAGTATGTCTGGGGACATAAATGCTTTTTTCATTTTAATTACTGATTCATTCCTTTTATTTTTAGTAACAGTACATCTAATTATAAAAGCCAGACATAAAATTGTAGAAAATGTGAAATATAAAGAAGTGTACTGAAAAAAAGCAAAAATCTCATATAAATCCACATCTGGAGGCAGACCTTATTAGCACTTTATTGTATATTTTATCAACACTAAGATTACAAAGTATATATTATTTTGTATCACCTTTTTTTTCACTTCATAATACATTATGAACATTTTTCCAATGTTCTCAATTATTTGTTCGCATTACCATTTGGAAATGCCTTCATAGTCATCCATTATTTGATATGCCATGGTTTATTTATCCACCTCCCTGTTTTGGTTGTTATTTTTCCTTCCTTTTTGTTGTTATATGGGGCCCTGGAGATTGAGGACTTGGGTTTGCACACTTACTACTTGTGCATTCCTGGCTCACTCACACAACCTCTAAGCCTGAAGTGTTCTCCCTTGATAATGGAAATGAGAGTGCCTCATGAGGTTTTTACAAGGCTGAAATGAGATGACATATATAAGTTTTAGCATAACTTGGCACATGGTAAGCACTGAATGAATGGTAGCTAATTTTATTTAAAATGTTGGCACGAACATACTCGTAGATAAATTTTTGTGTGCACTTACGATGTTTTGGTTAAGATGACATCTTAGAGGTAAAATAGCTGAATCAAAGGTATATTCATAAAATTTCTGATAGATTTGACTAAGCTTTCACCAGGGGATATTAACAATGTAGCAAAGACCCTTTTGCTTAAGGTATATGAGATGGTTTTCACTCCCCTTCCTTACCAGCTTTGGATAATTTAGTTTTTTGTTTATTTGTTTTTTTTTTTAATTGGCCACTTCAATAGGCAAATATGGCATCTTGTTTTAATTTTATTCCTATAATACTAATGAGATTGAAAACTTTCATATTTCATAAAATATTGCTCATTATTGCTTCTTTGAAAAATGCTCTGTTTTAAACTTTGCCCATTTTTCTATTAGACTTGTCAGAACATTTTTGAAGAATGTGCAAAATTCTCACATCATCAAATACTAGTACTTTTATGGCCTCATTTAAATCTTTAATCTAGCTAGAGTTTATTGGATGTTTGGTGTAAGTCAACTTTATTTTTCTTAATAGGTTGTTGTACAAGGGCCTCTGGCCAGGTAGACAGGGGTAGATATGCAAATCTGAGCCACCAGGGTTTTCAAATCAAGTTTTAAAATTTTGCAAGTGCAGGAAGTCATAGAATTACATCAGTAGCCAGAATTTATCAAAAACACAAAAGAGATGAATATGTTTCCTTAAGCCTGGACTTAACTAAAACCACAGGGCAATATTTTTTTTATCATTTAGATACCATTTTCCCAAAATACATGAAACCCGGGAAGGTTAGCTCAATGAAGAACGAAGTACTGCATGTTAGCATCTCAAGTGAGAAAACACTTGATGTTCCATTTGTGTTTTATTTTAATATCAACAGTTTCATCTAAAAGTCATCACATTTCTTGTCTGCTACAAAATCATGAACTAAATCAGCTTTACTAGAGACAACCATCTTCGGGGTGAACCATAAATTAATCTCAACTATGTGGTGTTATTTTCTTATGATCACAGAACCCTTGAGAAGGTACGATAATTCTCTTGCTAATTTAAAAGAGCAGAATATATCAATGTGTTTTATAAATACATATAGATAAATGTGTATGTGTCTGTGTGTATTTATTTCTTCTAAACCCCAAAACAACGCCTTCAATTTACAGAGGAAGAAACTGAGGCTAGGATTATAGTCTGAATATTTTTTATTTCATCATTTTAATAAAAATGGTATATATATATATACCATTTATATATATATATATATATATATATCCTAATCATATTCATGTACTACTTATTAAAGTTTAATGTACTCTGTAAAACATGATACACATATTAAAATTTTTAAATGATATAATGAAAATAGATATAAGTAGAGATTCTGATATTGCCTTGCCTCACCCCAATGGGTCATCCCAAGGACACATGCATCCCCACTTTGAAATAACCAACTTACAGTGCTTAACTAACTTGTCCATGGTCATGTGAGTGACAGAACAGAGCTAGAATTGTAGTCTTTTAATTCCTAGTTGCATTTACTGCTACTACATTGACCTGTTTCCTTCCAGAAATATCCTCAAGTGAGAACGGGGCCAAGGTCGAATGAGTTAATGGTTTCCACTCCTGTAAATTCTATACTCTGAAATATCTCACTACCACAAATAACTGAACTTTAGATGTAAGGCTAGGATTAAAGGCACACTTTTGCTAACTTAGAATCCCCCAAATTGACTTTAAGGTCACATCAGAGGGAAAGCTCCAAATTATTAACTTCCTGCCAGTCTTGCATAACCCTTTAAATCTGTGGTATATTCTTAGAAAGCATTCCTTGCCCCAAGCCGAAGGCACTGAAACAATGCTAAAGATCTGAAAATCATAACACAAAGACTTTTTTTAGAAACACAACTTTGTCTTCTTGTTTTGGGGGGGGAAAAATAAAAGAGGATGTGTTTTCCTAATCCGGATCTGCCTCCAGTTGTAAGTAACTTTACAATCCCATAAACTCAATTTCTGAAATACATCTAGCTCAATGTGACCAGGATTCTCCTAAACTAAACATTCTAAAACTGGAGCTTTTATACTTTAGAAAGAGCTAAGAAAAACAAAAAAGCTACGGTTCATGGACAATCATTATCTTGACATTTGGGTCAGTATGACTCAGTATCTTCATTAGAACCCCAGGTACAGAATGATCTGTTTCAATCACCACAAGGTTTCTCAAACCAGGCTTATAGTTATAGTCTTTGGGTTCTGAGCTCTCATTAAGGAGTTTGTGTGTGTGGTTTGTGTGTATATGCATGTACGTGGGCATATGCACACGTTTTCATAGGATGACAATCTGAGCTATATTTGTGTGCTATATTTGTGAGCTATATTTGTGTGCCATTCTGGATGATCTCAACGGTCATCTCAAACTGAAGTCAAGCAATTTCAGTGCTTGGATTTGCATTCGAGTTTATGATTGCAGGAGTGCTAAGTAGGGCTGCTTTGATTATTGTGGGCTGAATTAGTCATGACTCCATTGCCCATGAGAAAAACTTGTTCCAAGCTCGCTGCCTTGCAAAAGAGACATGAACACCATGGACACCTACACCACAAGTTCCGGGTCTGTATGGTTAATTGTGGAAAAACCTTCAGGCCAGAAGTCACAAAACACATACAATTCCCCAAGCTATCATCCCACCAAGAGATGTGTCTGGGTCAGTCAGTGCTGGACTTCTCGAAGCATGAGGTGTCCCACTAGGGAGGGACCGCATTCCTGTAATGCTCTGCATAGTGGGGAGAGGTAGGGGCCATCTATGTGGCTACATAACAATGGAAGCTTCCTGCTCGATAAGTTGGTATTATTAGAGCCCAGGGGCCCGTGTCTGCTCGTTCTCCTGTTAAGCCTCCTTGGACTTCCAAAGCCAGATCTCTGCTAAGTTACCTGAAAGGCATAAAAAACAAACGTTCAAGGCTACTTGGATTTGTCTGTTCTCACTTGCTCAGGCTAAATGGTAATTTACTGGCTCCCCTATTGGCCAAGGGTGGAGCTCACTTCAGAGACTTAATCCATGCCACAGAGATTTTTTTGCCATTCAGTTCTGTTGCTTTGCTGTGTGGGAGCCACAGAGAACAGGCTTTCTCCATCAGAGGTGGGGGCAGGTTGAGGGTGGGGTATGGCCCACATAAGAGCATTTAGGGTTACCACAGCAAGCTCGGAAGAAAGAAAGAGCTTCGTTCTTTCAGCATCCATGCATAAAATAGTGGGGTAGGGCTCTGACTGACCCTGCTTGGATCACTTGTTCATCCATAGGGCTTGAGAGAATGAGTACCATGATTACCAAGTCTAGATCACATGGGCACTCCTTTGGAGGGTGAGTTACTATTCTTTGCTGCTCATCACCATGCAGGAGCTGGGGAAGGACAGTTATCTAAAAAAAAAAAGGAGGGGGAGGGTATTGGGAAGTAAAAAAAATCAATTGATGTTCTATACATAGATAAAGGAGAAGAGAACAGAGTAGACTTAATTCAGAAGTGATGCTTTTGAGCTAAACGAATGCCAGATGGCATTGCAGCATGATATATAATTAAAGGTTTTGCAGTAGTTTGAATAGAAAGAAGTGATGGCAAAATGGTGATCTCATGGCACATGCTGACATGCCAACTTCAAAAACAAAGGCTTCATAGCATCAGTACTCTATTCATAGTGCTAGTGGTGATGTAGTCCCATTAAAACTCTTGCAACCATCACATTAAATTAATGTTATTTGTTTTTTTATTGGAATAAAAATAATTTCAAGCAATACTAGGAATCTCTTCCTTTATGAGAGATCCATACATGACTTAATTCTGAGAAGACTTGCTAGCATATCCACTTCGTCTGAGATCCACTCTCTTTTCTTTTTCAGGCCAAACATTGGAATTCCTTCAATCTTGCTTTGTCTGATAATAGTTTCGAGTTCCTTTAGGGCAGGAATTCCCAAATGGAGAGTGGTCGTCTTTGGGAGGCATATGGGAATTATCTGAGGGGCTATGTCAAACACACAGGTGCCCCCACCATTCTGAAATCACCTTCATGATGGCACATTCTCCATTGTTGAGAACCACCGCCATCAAAATCCACTTCAGCAATAGGATATATGATGTGCCTCAAGAGCACCTGGTTGGAAAATAGGGCAGAAGTCATGACTTTTGAATGCCAACTTCCTAAAGTATAGCACCTGGAACTAAATATAATGGTCTCTGTATGGTCTCGTTGCTAAAATGCAGAGAGAAGCACCTCGGTTAATTGCATATCTGATTCTCAGTTATGTCCTTCCCTTTACTTTGAATCTCCTGATATTGACTGTGTAGGCAGGGAGTGGACTGCCCACATCTTTCTCCAAGGATGGGTTTGCTACCCAGCAGCCAGCTTCTGCAGGACCTGCCCTATTACAGAGGCTGTCTGGCCCGAGGCCCATGGTCGTCTTGGAACAGCCTGCACCTAGTGGCCATTTTGGCCAGCCAGGGACACGTTGGTGGGCACTCCATACTTCAGAGCCCCCTGCCAAATCAGCCAAAGACTCACTGGGTCTGTATCCAAGTTCACGGTCTTCCTCTGCCCACTCCTGCTTCCTCCTTGTTATGGACTGAGTGTCTGTGTCCTCTCAAAATTCGTATGTTGAAACCTAATCCTCAGTGTGGTGGTATTTGGAGGTGGGTCTTTGGGAGGTGACTAGGTTATGAAGGTGAAGCCCTCATGAATGGGATTAGTGCTCTCAAAAGAGACTCCGGAGAGCTCCCTCACCTCACCACACAGTGAGAAGACACCATCTGGGAACCAGGAAGACGGCTCTTACCAGACAAGGAATCTGCCTTGGTTTTGAACTCCCAGCTTGCAGAACTAAATAAATGTCTGTTGTCTATAAGCCACCCAGTCTACAGTACTTTATTATAGCAACTGGAACTGATGAACACACTCTTCTTTCCTCTCACAGGTTTGATCTAGAAGAAGCATCTTGTACCCCTAACTCCACCCCAGCATCTGCTCCTGGAGACCCCAACTGTGACCCCAACTGCTCCTGGTTGACTGTGCTTTACCGGCTGGCCCACTGTGTGCTAATCATGTCCCACTCTCTGGACAGTCCTGCTCCTTCCTTTGTAACTAGATGTACTCTGTCATAGTCAGCTTGAGGATTCTCAAATGCAGATCCCAGGAAAAGAAAGATTCCCAAAAGCAAATCAGTAGACTACAAGCATTATTTTTATCCTGAAAAATTCATATACCGTATTACATTTGTTGAATGCTTATTATGTGGCAGGCACTGTTTTAGGCACTTCATCTGAATTAATTCATCACAGCCCTGTTGTTGATACTATTATTATTCCAATTGTTTAGGTGAGGAAACCGAGGCATAGAAAGTCACCCAGTTGGTGAGTTGGTAGACCTAGAGCTTAAATTTAGGCAATCTTACTTCAGAGCCCATGATATGAATCACTATACCAAGTGGTTCTCAATCTTTGGCGTGCACCAGAATCACTTGGAGGACTTATTAAAACTCAGATTCTGGCCTCCACTCCAAGGTGGAGGCCAGATTTGAGGTGGGGCTTGAATACTTGCATTTCCAGTGAATTTCCAGGTGATGTTAATGCTACTGCTCTAGGGACCACATTTTGATATTCACTGTGTTACAGGATATGGCCTCTCAAGTAAAAAAAGAGAATAACTGTTATTGTGTGGGGACGCATTACATTTTCCCACATGATAAATAACAGTTTCCAAATATAATATGTTTGGGGAATACTTGCTAGCTAATCTTGTCATGGCTTCTCCAATATCAAGCATTTCTCCTCTTCCTGGTGCTAGACCTCTCTCTGTTGCCCATGTGTGGCCAAGGACATCTAATTACAAAACCCAGTGTTATTTTCTTAGGATATTGAGAGGAACCTAGGTTTGATAGATAAAGGCTAGGGTACCTGAAGTGTGCATATTACTTAGAAACCATAAGTTAGACTTTTAAAAATGGGAGAATGGTTATTATTAGCTCAGTCAATGGTAAGGCCCAAAGAAGTACAACATAATCACAAATGTAGTATTTTATATTGTTAAATTTTGCTAAATACGTGTGTGAAAGAACATCCATTTTAAAAATAATAAAAATGTAATAGTTTTGTATCTCAAAAACAATAAGGTAATTTTTTAAGATTATTTTTAACTGTGAATCTTTATTTGTTCATTAATTCATTCAGTTAACATTTAGTAAGCACCCATGAGACTATGGCATTGTGTTCACAGAATTATATAACAATATGTTATAATTATAATCACTAATGATCACTAATCTTTTTACCATACTCACCTTCTCAGGGAATTTAAATCCTTTCTGAATTTTAGGTCATTGGTTTTCACACCATCTTTGAGAAGCAAGATGATCTTGTGCTTTATGTCCAGTGTATACTCCAAAAAGCTAAGGACTCAAGGATCAGGATGGCCTCCAGGAAAACCTGGGACAGACCCACAAGTAGAAATTACAACCTTCAACTCTTAAGTATTACTCTGCCAAACAATTTTCCATCTCTGGAGGATTATCTGTCCTAGCTTTCTATGGTAAAACACTTACTTTCATTTTTACTTAAAAAAAAAATTCTATAGGGAAGTTAAAAAAAAATTAATATCTGTTTGGCTCTCTTGTGATTTCAGGAAATCTGTTGCATGTACCTCAAGCCCCAGGCAGGACAAGTCTACTTTGTCCCCTAAAGGATTCTGTAACTTATAGCCTTTGAAAATAATATTCCAGGTAAAGAGAACCGAGAGGGGATAGAAGGGGGAATCCCACATGCATTCATGGGATTGTAATACTGTTCTTTTTACAGTGGAGAAACTGGATGGAATTATCTTCAGCTTCTTAAAAAGACTATGATCTCTTAAGAAGTGTAATTATATACCTACAATTACCCATTTATTCAACATTTTACTGGAGGTCCTAATGAGTGTATTACGATAAGAAAGAGTAAAAAGTGTAAGGCTTGGAAAGGAAGAAAAAAAGTATCATTTTCATTGATTTTATACATAACAAGTAAAAATAAATATTAGATAGAATTCATAAGAGTGAGAGAAAAAAAGAATTAATAAGAGAGTTTAGCAAGGTGGCTGGATATAAAATCAATTGTACTTCTCCACAGAAGCAACAGTTAAAAACATATCTTATTAAAAGATATCATTTATAATAGAAACAAATAAATAGGGTACTTAGAAATAAATCTAAAAATCTGTGTAAGATGTTTGTGGAGAATTATTGAGACATTAAAGAAAACCTAAACAAATGGACAGATGATATATTGAGATGTCATCACTTCTTCCCAAAATTGATGCAGATATTCCAATAAAAATCTCAATAGTGCTTTTTCAGGGACTTAAACCAACTCTAAAAACTATGTATCCAAGAGGAAAAGCCCAAGATTAGAGAAGGCATTTCTAATAAGGAAAATGAAACAGGGATTTTTACTACATGATAACAAGTTTTTTAGGAAGTTGTAATAATTAAGACACAAGGATAGACAAAATAATGAAACCGTAAAAAATTAAGAAACAGAACTTTTTGTGCATTAAAATGATATATGACAGAGACAGCAGTGCAGGTTACTGGGGGAAGGGTGGACTTTTAAATAAAAAGCACTAGAACAACTGTTTATGAGGAAATAATAAAATTGGATCCCTATCTAACATCAAACAGAAAAACCACTTTTAGACATATTAGAAATGTGTAAAAAGCAAAACTTAAAACATTTTAAAATAAAATATAAAACAAGATGTCTATAACTTCAGAGGAGAGATTTATTGTACAAGACACAAAAATCACTAATAAAAATATACAAAAATGATAAATGTGACTATATTATTATCAAGAACAGCTGTCCATAAATGTTTACTATAAAGAAAGTTAAAATAGAATCCACAAACTAGAAATATGATGAACACACACACATATATACATATATATACAGATCAAAACATATATATTTATAAAAACTCCCATAAATTAATAGAAAAAAGAACACAATTTATAGAAAGATGGTCAAAGGATACAAAGAGATAGATAATAATTTTATACCACAAGATGTGAATTTCACTAATGTCAGAAAAACACAAATGAAAAAGAAATGAGATACGATTTTTTATCCACAACTGATAGCGAAAACGGATAGGATCCTTTTGGATAAGAATTTTGGAGTATGCATCAGAACTAAACACATAAGTGCCCTTTGATCCAGGTGCTCTATTACTCAGGATCCAACCTGCATGTGTACAAAGAAGAAAGAACAAAAGAATTATCGTCACCAATGCTAACTCTCCGATGAAATGGTGGAGCCTCACCTTGTTCCACATTAGGAAGGGGTCACTCCAAGTAGTTACACAGACCAGATTACACAGAACCCATAGATTCTGATCGACAGAAGGTGATAGGAACACAACTGAGAACCTAAAAAAAAGGAGAACACTTCAATTCTAAAATGTGAAGTTCTTCGTGTTTCCAACCCCCAAGTTTTACAAATGTGTCCACTTTACATATTTCGATTTTGCCAGGGTATCTTTTCACTACACTCAATAATTGGTGTTTTCATTTGCTGTGAGGGCCAGGTTAAATGATTTTTGCACTGATTGCCATTTACATATGAAAACCTAAGAAAGCCACTGGGGAAAAGTTTTTAGGACAGTTCAGTCTATGAAAATATATTTAGAGAAGGAACAGTGTAAAAGGACCCAGCTTCATGGTTTTTATTCAATTAAGCAACCATCCATAAAAATCCAGATTTTGTGGTTTTTGTTCAATACACGTTGCATTTATTGATAAAGGTGAGTTGATAAATTTAGGAAGATAAAGGTCCCAAATTATATCTTTCTCCATCTGCTCTGAGTATACATTCATTAAGTTAGTGATTTTTAGGTAATCAAGCTTTAGGATTCAGTTATGACATTAAATCTAAAATCATGAGAAAACTAAATTATAATAGAAATCTATAGCAAATATTTCCATAATGGCATATATATTATCAGAAAAAAAAACCCACAAAACTGAAGAAATCACAAAGCTTTCTGTAGGAAAAATCGTGCAATTAGAAATCAAAGTATAGGGAAGAAAACTCTCTTCTTCTCTTCTATGTTCTTTGGCTGGCCTAACAATTAAATTGATATAAGGCAGGTTAACAGGAGAAAAACAAATTTAAATTTCTATGTAGGGAACCCCAAAGATGTGAGGCTCCAAGAAGTGACCAAAGCAGGCATCTTTTTTTTTTATAAAGATTTAATTTATTTATTTGAGAGAGAATGAGATAGAGAGAGAGAGCATGAGAGGGGGAGAGTCAGAGGGAGAAGCAGACTCCCTGCCGAGCAGGGAGCCCGATGCAGGACTCAATCCCGGGACTCCAGGATCATGACCTGAGCCGAAGGCAGTCGCTTAACCAACTGAGCCACCCAGGCGCCCAGCAGGCATCTTTTATATCTTTTAAACTAAGAAACACTAAATTTGTGAAGAGTTGACAAGATAATGAAGTTTGGTTTTGGGGTAGCAAATTAGTTAAGAAGTAACACCGTCTGTTTATATAGCCTTCTTGGCCTTAAATTCCCTATCTCTGGTGATAAGGACGTTTCTCTTCCTCCTGGTACAGGAAGGGTATCTTTAGCATGGGAGATTTATTTCCTGCTTTCAGAGGGACCAAGAAGGTCAGAGTGTCCTTTCATCAGGTGTTTCTCAAGTAATTTTAAAGATTTTATTTATGTATTCATTTTAGAGAGACAGAGGGCATGAGCATAAGCAGGGAGAGGGGCAGAGGAAGAGGGAGAGAGAGAATCTTAAGCAGGTTCCACGCTGAGCATGGAACCAGTTCCCACACAGGGCTTGATCCCACAACCCTGAGATCTTGACCTGAGCAGAAACCAAGAGTCGGATGCTTAACCAACTGTGTTACCCAGGCACCACTCAAGTGATTTTATTCAAAGTAATCAATATGCCAATGTAGAAAATTTAGGGATGGTATATGCTGCTCCCCTTCCAAAGCAAGAGCATCTAGGTTTTGAGGGAAAAAATAAATACTCACTAACAACATAGTTTCAAGGGTGAGGACGGGAAAAAATTCTTCTGACATGTTCTAGTAAATGAGATACAGCATTATTTCCTCCTTTGGGGAGACATTTTTAAAATTTATTTTTATTTTTATTTTTTTAGAGAGAAAGAGTATGGGTGGGGGTGGGGGAGGTGAGGGGTGGGCAGAGGGAGAGAGAGAGAGAATCTTTTTTTTTTTTTAAAGATTTTATTTATTTATTTGAGACAGAGAGAATGAGAGAGGCAGAGAGCACATGAGAGGGGGGAGGGTCAGAGGGAGAAGCAGGCTCCCCACCGAGCAGGGAGCCCGATGCGGGACTCGATCCAGGGACTCGATCCAGGGACTCCAGGATCATGACCTGAGCCGAAGGCAGTCGCTTAACCAACTGAGCCACCCAGGCGCCCTGAGAGAGAGAATCTTAAGCAGGCTCCACACACAGCGTGGAGCCCAACACAGGACTTGATCTCAAGACCCTGAGATTGTGACCTGAGCCGAAATCAAGATGGAAGGCATTTTTAAAAATGAGTATATGTGAGAGGGCGCCTGGGTGGCTCAGTCGGCTAAGCGTCTGCTTTCAGCTCAGGTCATGATCCCAGGGTCCTGGGATGGAGCCCCGCATCGGGCTCCCTGCTTGGCGGGAAGCCTGCTTCTCCCTCTGCCTGCCGCTCCCCCTGCTTGTGCTCTCTCTCTGACAAATAAATAAATAAAATCTTTAAAAAAATTTAAAAAAATGAGTATATGTGAGAGATGGCACAATCATCATTCATAAACACCCAACAATTAGTTGTTAGTTAACTTAAAAATCTGATGGGCTTGGTAGACCAAGTGAACTATGAGTGGGGAAAGAGGCGTATGTGAAAAATGGAGACAACACGAAGGTGCGGTGCAGGTAGTATGATCTTGTATATGGCTTATAATAGGACTCCGAATGCTATGAGGATACAGAGGATGGGAGAGGGAGCTCATGTGACTTGTGTTGTGACATTTTTCCTGGAACGAGTACCAAGGAATCACCAGCCTATTAATTACAACCATATTTCCAGTTGGGATGCTGATGAGAGAAGCTCACTGGATGTGTCTGAAAAACCTCTTGCTCAGATAACTAATGAGATTTGCTCTGGGGTGCAGAAGCTTCACCATAGCCCACATTTCCCGAGTCTTCCATTATTCATCTTCCCTTCCTCTGACCATGCCCCACCCCCTTTAAGATTCTTTTAGTTAATTTTTAAAAATTATTTTATTGAAAAACACTTTACCATCAACCATTTTTGTAGTATGCAGTTCAGTGATGTTAAGTATTTTCACATAGTTGTGAAACAAATCTCCAGAACTTTTTTATCTTTCAAAATGGAAACTCTTCATGCTTTAAACAACAATTCTCTTTTTCCCCTCCCCTTGCCCTGGGTAGCCACCATACTGGGTTTTTTTTTCCCTGTGAATTTGGCTACTTTAGATACCTCATACGTAAGTGGACTCATACAGTATTTGTTCTTTTGTGACTGTCTTATTTCAGCTATCCTAAGGTCTTCAAGGTCCATCCATTGTTGTAGACAAGCTGCAATTCCATTCCTTTTTAAGACTGAGTAATACTCCATTAGCTATGCCACATTCTGTTTATCCCATCATCTGTTGACAGACACTTGGGTTGTTTCTCTCTCTTGGCTATTGTGATTAGTGTTTCTATGAACACTGGTGTGCAAATATCTTTTCCAGATCCAGCTTTCAATTCTTTTGGATATATGCCCAGTACTGGGATTGCAAAATCATATGGTAGTTCTATTTTTCATTTTTTGAAGTATCACTTCTATTCGTCAGCTCAGGCTGTCATGACAATATACCACAGTCTGGTAAGCTTAAATGACAGAAATTTATTTCCTCCCAGTTCGGGAGGCTGGAAGTCCAGGCAGGTAGGTCAGGTTTCTGGTAAGAGTTCTCTCTTTGGCTCGCAGACAGCTGCCTTCTCACAGGGTCCTTTTCTCGTGCACGCGCACTCCTTGTGTCTAATTTTCTTCTTAGAAGGGCACCAGTCTGAATGGATTTGGGCTCTACTCTAACAACCTCACTTAACACTCCTTAATTACCTCCTTAAAGGCCCCATCTCTACGCAATCACATAGGGGGATAAGGCCTCCACATGTGAATTTTAGGGGGACACAATTCAGTCTGTACCACTGCCATTCACTTTTCCATAGCCACTGTACCATTTTATATTTCCACCCACAGGGCATTAGATTCCAATTTCTCCACACCCTGGTCAACACTGGTTATTTTCTCCTTCCTTGACAGCAACGGTCCTAATGTGTGTGAGGAATGCCCAAGCCCCTTTAATGTGGGGCCCAGGGAAATGTCAGTTGAGTAACCACCCTTATATATTGGATTCTATTTATGGCAAGTAGTACTGCCCCAGTGTGCCAGGCTTTGCAGGTGGGAAGTTGAGAAACAGAAGAGCAGAGTGACATTTCAAGGGGCAGAGGGAATGATTTAAGAGAATCCACGCTAAATGAACCTGGAGTCTATTTTTAGCTGGGCCGGATTACAGTTGCCTTCAGAGGTTGCATACATTAAGAGTAATCGTTTAAAAGAAAGCATAGCTCAGGCTTACATGGTATCATCTACAAGCCCAGTAGGGCTTCAGCAGGGTTCCCGGCCCTCCCGCCATCTACTGGGCCCTTAGCAGTGTTCAGAGAGTGTTCACACCCGGCAGGCTGCAGAGAAGCCCTGAATGTCATCAAATTGGCGTGCAGAAAGGAGCACTTAATCCTGTTTTCTTTAATCTAACTACCTAAGGCCTTGGAGTTAGTCAACTGTAACTTCAAAACCCAAGGCAAATTGAACCCAGTAGGGTCTCTTTGAAAAGGCTAGCACATTCAATGAGGTTCTCCTTGGTTTCCATAAAACACTATTCCACACAGAGAAGAACACTAGAATTTTTGGGAGGAATCAGAGTTTTCTTTTAAATATTTGCTTTGCAAATTTTTAGCTCAGGCTGTTTTCCAAACTTTGTGCTCTACTCAATCATCATATAAAAGATTACATTCTTCATTTATTAATACATCAAATATACACAAAACCTGTATTTAGAAACAAGGTACCACGTTACCTGTGAGAAATAACATTGTCAAGGAGCTTATAGAGAACCAGGGGCAATGACTTATGTGTATAAGAATAATAATACAAGACAGAAATCTGCAAGAGAGAGAGATTCAGTGATGTGGGTGAAGAAAGATCCCTTCTGGCCAGGGCTCCCAGAAAGAATTTCAAAAAGGGCACGGTGTTTGAGTTAAGCTTTAAAGAGAGATCAGGTTTGAGGCGTGTGGAGAAGTAGAGGAAGATTATCCCAGGCAGAGGAAAATCACCCCATAAATCTGGCACTGAGAATA